GCCGGCCGTGGCGGCCACTGGAGGGTGAACCAACAGAAAAAGAAAGACCTTTCTCTCTGTCTCTCTCTCTCACTGTCCACTCTGCCTGTCAAAAAAAAAAAAAAAACTTATGGGATACAGCCAAAGCAGTGTTAAGAGGCAAATTTCTAGTAATTGGAGCCTATATCAAGAAATTATCAAGAAATTGGAAATGCACCAAATAAATGATCTACCAGTGCATCTCAAGGACCTTGAAAAACAACAGCAAACGAAACCCAACACTAGTAGGAAAAAGAAATAATTAAAATTAGAGGAGAAATCAACAAAATAGAAACCAATAAAACACAAAAGATTTCAAAATGAAGAGCTGATTTTTTGAAAAAATAAATAAAGTTGACACACCATTGGCCCAACTAACCAAAAACAGGAGAGAGAAGACCAAAATTAGTAAAATCAGAGATGAAAAAGGAATTTTAACAACAGACACCACAGACATAAAAGGAATCATCAGAAATTACTGCAAAGAGCTGTATGCCAACAAATCGGGAATCTAGAAGAAATGGATAGATTCCTTGACACATATGACCTCCCTGAATTGAGCCATGAAGACATAGAAAACCTAAACAGACCAATAACCAAACAGACTCAAATCAATAATAAAGACCCTCCTAACAAAGAAGAGCTCAGGACCGGATGGCTTCACTGCTGAATTCTACCAAATGTTTAAAGAACTAATTCCAATTCTTCTCAAGCTATTCAAAACAATTGAAAGGGAGGGAATCCTTTCAAATTCTTTCTATGAAGCCAGCATCACCTTAATTCCTAAACCTGAAAAAGATACAACAGAGAAAGAGAATTACAGACCAATCTCTCTGATGAACATAGATGCAAAAATCTTCAGCAAAATACTAGCCAATCGAATCCAACAACACATCAGAAAGATCATCCACCGGGATGAAGTGGGATTTATTCCTGGTATGCAGGGTGGTTCAACTTTGCAAATCAATCAATGTGATACATCACATTAAAAAACTGAAGAATAAAAATCATATGATTATCTCAACAGACACAGAGAAAGCATTTGACAAAATACAACACTCTTTCATGATAAAACTTTAAGCAAATTGGGAATAGAAGGAACATTTCTCAACACAATCAAAGCAATATATGACAAACCCATGGCCAGTGTCCCATTGAATGGGGAAAAGTTGAGAGCAATCCCACAGTGATCTGGAACCAGACAAGGGTGCCCACTCTCACCACTGCTTTTCAATATAGTCCTGGAAGTTTTATCCAGAGGCATTAGACAAGAAAAAGAAGTCAAAGTGATACAAATTGGGAAGGAACAAGTCAGACTATCCCTATTTGCAGATGACATGATCCTATATATAGGGGATCCAAAAGACTCCTTTAAGAGACTATTGGAACTCATAGAAGAGTTTGGAAATGTAGCAGGATATAAAATCAACACACAAAAATCAATTGCCTTTCTCTATGCAGACAATGCTACAGTTGAGAAAGAGCTTCCAAGATAGTCCCATTAATAATAGCTACCAAAAATATCAAATACCTTGAAATAAATTTAACTAAGGATGTCAAAGATCTCTACAATGAGAATTACAAAGCATTAAAGAAAGAAATAGAATAAGATACAAAAACATGGACAAATCTTCCATATTCATGGATTAGAAGAATCAATATCATCAAAATGTCCATACTACCAAAAGCAATTTACTGATTCAATGCAATACCAATCAAAATATCAAAGACATTTTTATCAGATACAGAAAAAATGATGTTGAAATTCATATGGAAACACAGGAGACCCCAAATAGCTAAAGCAATCTTATACAATAAAAAACAAGCTAGAGGCATCACAACAAAAGATTTCAAGATATATTACAGGGCAGTCTTCATCAAAACAGCCTGATAGTGGTACAAAAACAGATGGATAGACCAATGGATCAGAATAGAAACACCCTAAATCAATCCAAATATCTTCAACCAACCAATCTTTGACAGAGGTGCTAAAATGACCCCTGAGCAAGGACAGTCTCTTCAACAAATGGTGCTGGGGAAAACTGGATTGCCATATACAGAATCATGAAGCAAGACCTTTATCTAACACCTTTCACCAAAATCCACTCAAAGTGGATTAGAGACCTAGATCTACAATTCGACACCATCAAATTATCGGAGGACATTGGGGAAACCCTACAAGACATTGAGTTTGGGATTACATCAAATTGATAAGCTTCTGCACTGCAAAAGAAACAATCAGCAAAGAGAAGAGACAACTTACAGAATGGGAGAAAATATTTGAAAACTCTACAACTGATAAAGGATTAATAACCAGAATATATAAAGAGATCAAGAAACTCAACAACAACAAAACAAAAAAAATCCAGTTAAGAAATGGGAAAAGTACTTAAATAGTTTTCAAAAGAGAAAATCCAAATGGCCAACAGACACATGAAAAAATGCTCAGGATCACTAGCCATCAGGAAAATGCAGATCAAAACCACCATGAGGTTTTACCTCATCCCAGTTAGAATGGCTTTCATACAGAAATCAACAAACAACAAATGCTGGTGAGGATGTGGGGAAAGAGTATCCCAATCCACACTTGGTGGAAAGGTAAACTGGTAAAACCACTATAGAAGACAGTGTGGAGATACCTCAGAGATCTGAACATAGACCTACCATATGACCCAGCCATCCTACTCCTGGGAATCTACCCAAAGGAAATGAAAAATCAGCATATGAAAGAGCTATGTGTACCTCCATATTTGTTGCAGCTCAATTCACAATAAGAAAGACATGGAATCAACCCAATACCCATCTACTGAAGACTGGATAAATAAATTATGGGATACGTTCACCATGGAATACTACACAACAGTAAAAAAAAAAGTTGGTTATTAGCAACAAAATGGATGAAACCGGAAAACATCATACTTAGAGAAATAAGCCAGTCTCAATGGGACAAATTCTATATGTTCTCCCTGACCTGCGATAACTAATAGAGCACCTAAAAGGCAACATGTACGAATGAAATTGACACTATGAAAAGCAATGATTTTGAACAGCCCTTCCCTTCACTGTTGAGGAACCCCTTTTTATTCTATATTTTTGGTTCTTTTCCTTTATAATATTTTCCTTATCTCTTTTTTCTTTCATATGAATTATTGAACTCTATACTTAATTTAGAGTTAATCATATATGTATAAAGTTAATTGAAAATAGATCTTAGTAAAGAATAGAGAATAAGAAAGGGAAGAGGGAGAGGGCTGGGAGTGTGGGTGGGAGGACAAGCATGGTGGGAAAAATTACCAAGATCCTAAACCTGTAATTTTGAAATGTATGAAGTTCATAACTGTAAAGCAGTATAGTCCTACATACTTTCCTACGGACTCACTTCTAAGGTACAGCTAAACAAATTGCCATAGGACCCCAAAATCCTTTAAGTTGGCTGATAAAAATAACAGCTTAAGTGTTATAAAGACCAAATGGATAGGATTAAGTGATAAAGTGACATAAAGTGATCATATAAATAGGACTAAGTGTATGGAAACAATAATAGGATCAAAAAGGAGTGAAGGCTGGGGCTGGCGCTGTTGCGCAGTGGGTTAACACCATGGCCTGAAGTGCCAGCATCCCATATAGGCACAGGTTTGAGTCCTGGCTGCCTCTCTTCCAATCCAGCTCTCTGCTAGTGGCCTGGGAAAGCAGTACAAGATGGCCCAAGTCCTTGGGCCCCTGCACCCACGTGGGAGACCTGGAAGAAGCTCCTGGCTCCTGGCTTCAGATCGGTGCAGCTCTGGCCATTGTGGTCATCTGGGGAGTGAAAAAGCAGATGGAAGACCTCTCTCTCTTTCTCTACCACTCTCTAACTCTGTATTTCAAATAAATAAAATAAATCTTAAAAAAAAAAAAAGAGTGAAGGCTCCAACATGGAAGCAGTCCATAGAGCAGACTCATAGAATGACTGTCACTTTAGTATCACTCTGACCTCAGAATCAGCCCTTAAGGCAGTTGATCTGACTGGAAAGCCCAGGGGGAGCATTTCAGGCATGGAAAGCCAAGACACTGTGGCAAAAAATGTCCTACATAAAGGACCCCTGTGGTGAGATCTCAGTGGAAAGAAGGGGCCACCAAAGAAGGATGTACTTTCCTTTGAAGGGAGGAGAGAACTCCATTTTGCTTATGGCCTTGTCAAGCTAGTGGATCCAAAAGGCTTCCAAAACCAAGGCAGATCATGTCAAGAACCTTGGGTGATCCCTGATGTCATACATAAGAGTGTTAATTGTTAAGTTAACAATAAGAGTCACTGTTCCCATGCAGGACCTCTGTACCCAAAGAGTTGTACATTGAAGCTTAATAGTAAAACTTGTTTTCAAGGATCACTTCCTTTTAGTGTATTTAATGGAGGATATTATTATGTCTCATAAGTTATAGGTATGTCTAAGAGCTCACAAAATATGTATCATGCTTGGATTCTTCTTTAAAGACAATTAAGTTTCTAAAAGGAAAGAAAGAGGAGGAAAGAAGGGAAAAGAGGAAGGGGGGGAAGGGAAATCACCTTTGAGAAGCAATAAAAGAACAGCGCTGACTCTCTGTATCAAGACCTGTCACATACAGTCTAATAAATACAAACTCGCTTAGTGATCATAAAGATTTTATGAGGTAGATACTATTATTATCTCCATTTGTGTACCCATGATACAAAGAAATCTTACTTGCTCAAGATCAAATGGCTAACAGGTGCCTGAGCTCTGTCTGCACACGGGCAGTTTGTTTGCAGTGATTGTGTCCTCAGACCCTGTGCAGAATTGCCTACTGGCTAGCTGATGTCCACAGCATACTGAGCCTTTGTAGCCAGGAGGCTCCTGTGCACTCACACTTCTCTTCCATCAGTTGACTTAACGTTAATTGGCTACTCGTTTCCGAACCTCTCTTTGATAAGTGGACTTTTACTGTAATTACTCATATTTGAATTAAACAAAGATAAACTAATGGAATATGAGTATAAAAACAATGTTGTTTTGGGGCAGGCAGTTAGTTTAGCATTAAGATGCCAGTTCAGATACCTGTGTCCCACACTGGAGAGCCTTGGTTTGATTCCAGCTCTGGCTCCTGGTTTCAGTTCTTGCTTAATGCAAATCCTGGGAGGCAAATGTGATGGCGCAGATGCTTTTGTCTCTTCCATCCACATGGGCAATCTAGATCGAGTTCCCGGCTTTCAGCTTCCACCTGGCTTAGCCCAGCTGTTGCAGACATTTGGCTAGTAGATCTGTGGATGGGAGCTCTCTCTTTCTCCCTCTGGAAAACAAACAAACAAACAAACAAACAACCAGAAGAAATGAACAGAAAAGAAAGAAAAGGACGTGAACAGAAAATATAGGAATAAAAAAGAGTGAAGTTCTTATAATATAATGTTATAATTAAACTGATTCTTTTTTTTTTTTTTTGACAGGCAGAGTTAGACAGTGAGAGAGAGACAGAGAGAAAGGTCTTCCTTTTCTGTTGGTTCACCCCCCAAATGGCTGCTACGGCTGGCACGCTGCACCTATCCGAAGCCAGGAGCCAGGTGCTTCCTCCTGGTCTCCCATGTGGGTGCAGGGCCCAAGCCTTGGGCCATCTTCCATTGCCTTCCCGGGCCACAGCAGAGAGCTGGACTGGAAGAGGAGCAACCGGGACAGAATCCCGCGCCCCAACAGGGACTAGAACCCGGGGTGCCGGCGCCACAGGCAGAGGATTAGCCTAGTGAGCCGCGCGCAGACCCTAAACTGATTCCCTTTAATAGGTACTATGAAGGCAGGAAAAAATTGTTGAATTAGGCATGGGTGATGACTAGGAAGAGTGATAGAGTAAAGCTCCTAGAATTTTTCTTTCTTGAGTATCTTTGAAATTTTTTTGTTACTGAAACAAATCCTGAAAATTCTAGAAAACACATTATGGCTTCTCCTCATCTACCTCCTCACCCTGCTCGGGAACCTCCTCATCGTGGTTGTCGCCCTCACGCACAGGTGCCTCCACACCCCCATGTACTACTTCCTCCGCAACTTTGCTGTCCTGGAGATCTGGTTCACCTCCATCATCTTCCCCAAGACACTGACCAACATCCTCACAGGACACAAGACCATCTCCCTAGCAGGATGCTTTCTCCAGTTGTTCCTCTATTTCTTCCTGGGCACCACAGAGTTCTTCCTACTGGCAGCGATGTCCTTTGACAGGTATGTGGCCATATGTAACCCCCTGCGGTACACCACCATCATGAGCAAAAGGGTGTGTGTCCAGCTGGTGCTCTGCTCATGGATCACAGGACTCATTCTCATTCTTCTTCCAAGTGTCATCATATTTAACCAACCATTCTGTGGCCCTAATGTCATTAATCATTTCTTCTGTGACAGCTTTCTACTCATGGAACTCATATGTGCAGACACAACTCTGATAGAGCTTCTGAGTTTTTTTTTTTTTTAAGCAAAGATTTATTTATTTATTTGAACGGCAGAATTACAGAGAGGTAGAGGCAGATGCAGAGAGAGAGAAATCTTCCATCCACTGGTTTACTCCCCAAACAGCTGCAATGGCCAGGTTTGGGCCGGACGGAAGCCCAGGAGCCAGGAGCTTCTTCCAGGTCTCCCACGTGGGCACAGGGGCCAAAACACTTGGGCTATCTACTACTGATTTTCCAGAGAGCTGGATCAGAAGTGGAGCATCTGGGACTTGAATCAGCACCAATATGGGGTGCCGGCACTGCAGGCGATGGCTTTACCCACTACACCACAGCACGGGCCGCAGAGCTTCTGATTTTTGTAAAAACCAATGTCAGCTTACTGGGAACTCTGTGTATGACAGCCACCTGCTGTGTGGCCACATCCTGCACACCATCCTGCACATCCCCTCAGCCAAGGAGGGGCAGAAAGCCTTCTCAACCTTCTCTTCCCACAAGATTGTGGTGTCTCTCTTCCATGGCAGCTGCGTCTTCATGTACATCTGGTCAGGCAAAGGTGGTCAGTGGGAGGGCTGGAACAAGGTGGTAGTTTTGCTCAACACCGTGGTAACCCCAGGGCTCACTCCCTTTATCTACATCCTGAGAAACAAACAGGTGAAACAGGTGTTTCAGAAGCAGGTGAGCAAGCTCCTCTCATAAAGAACCAGATCTGAGAGAGGAATCAGATCTGAGAGAGCCAGTCTGTATCTTTTAACTGGAGAGTTGAGGCCATTTACATTCAAGATGACTATTGATAAGTAACAACTTGGCCTTGCCATTTTTCCATAAATATTTCTATTGTTTACTTTGGATTTCCTTTGTACTTTTACTGGGAAATTTTCTGCCTTCAGCTTCTTTCATAGTGATGATCATGTTTCCATGTGTAGCATATCATTAAGCATCTTTTGTAATGATGGACGAGTGGCTACAAATCCTTTCAGTTTCTGTTTTTTAATTTTTTTTTTATGGAAGGTCTTTATTTCACCTTCATTTATAAGTGATAGCTTGGCAGGGTACAGTATCCTGGGTTGACAGCTTTTTTCTCTTAAGACTTGGAATATATCTTGGAATATATCTTTTCTCCTAGCCTATAAGGTTTCTGATGAGAAGTCAGCTGTTGGCCGGTGCCAAGGCTCAGTAGGCTAATCCTCTGCCTGTGGCGCCGGTACACTGGGTTCTAGTCCCGGTTGGGACGCTGGATTCTGTCCCGATTGCCCCTCTTCCAGGCCAGCTCTCTGCTGTGGCCCGGGAGTGCAGTGGAGGATGGTCCAAGTCCTTGGGCCCTGCACCCCATGGGAGACCAGGAGAAGCACCTGGCTCCTGCCTTCGGATCAGCGCGGTGCGCTGGCTGCAGCACGCCAGCCGCGGCGGCCATTGGAGGGTGAACCAACGGCAAAGGAAGACCTTTCTCTCTGTCTCTGTCTCTCTCACTGTCCACTCTGCCTGTCAAAAAAAAAAAAAAAAAGTCAGCTGTGAGTCTAATTGAAGATCCCCTGAAAGTAATCTGGCATTTCTCTCATGCATGTTTTAGAATCTTTTCTTTATGTTTTACTGTGGAGAATTTGACTACAATATGTTGTGGTGAAGATCTTTTCTGGTCATGTCTATTAGGAGTTCTATGTGTTTCCTGTACTTGGACGTCCCTTTCTCCAAAACAGAGACATTTTCTGTAATTATTTCACTAAACTCACCCCCCCCCTTTGGAAAGTAGCTAGGTTTCATTGGGGACAGTGCATCCTTCAGAATGGAAGGGACGGAGAGAGTGCCCTGTCACTCAGATCGGGGGAAAGCAAGGTTACATGGTTGAATGGGTGGCTCAGCAGAGAGCTGAGAGCTGAGTGCGTACTTTGTTTAGACAAGGTCTTAATAGGGAAAAGGGGTCCAGGTTTCTCCTTCCCCTTCTCCTCTTCCTCCTCTAGGACAAAAGGTTTGGTGTAAATTAGGAAATTCCTCCCCACATTTGCTGGTGCTGGTGAGTGGGGCTTCCCCCAGGGCACCTGCCATGTAGGAGAATGTAGAGGTTTTATTGCTCAGTGTTATCAGGCCAGGTAACTCATTTGGTGCTGAGGAGAGAGCTTTCCCTTGGGGAAGAGCTGGGACCACCTGGAAGGTTATCAGGGTCTGGGCAGGACTCTGAAGTGTAGATACTGGGCTTCTGCAGTTGTAAAAAGTCCTTCTAATCCATTCTCCCTTTCTACACCTTCAGGAACTCCTAAGACCTGTATGATGGGTCATTTGATAGCATCCCATAAATCTCTAGCACTGTTTTTTAGTTTTCTGATTTCTTCTTCTCTTTTTTTGGCCTGACTGTAAAATTTGCAGAGATTTGTCTTCTAACTCAGATATTATTTTTTTTAAAAAAGATTTATTTATTTGAAAGGCAGAGTTACAGAGAGAGGTCTTCTATCCACAGGTTCACTCCCCAAAAGGCCGCAACAGCCAGAGCTGCGCCGATCCACAGCCAGGAGCCGAGCTTCTTCCGGGTCTCCCATGTGGGTGCAGGGGCCCAAGGATGTGGGCCATCTTCTACTGCTTTCCCAGGCCATTGCAGAGAGCTGGATCGGAAGTAGAGCAGCTGGGACTCCAACTGGCACCCATATGGGATGCCGGCACTGTAGGTGGGGTGGATTTAGCTGCTATGCCACAGTGCCAGCCCCTGGATATTCTTTCTTCTGCTTCATTGAGTCTGTTGTTAAGGCTTTCCACTGCATTTTTTTTTGACAGGCAGAGTTAGACAGAGAGAGAGAGAGAGACAGAGAGAAAGGTCTTCCTTCTGTTGGTTCATCCCCCAAATGGCTGCTATGGCTGGCGCGCTGCACCGATCTGAAGCCTGGAGCCAGGTGCTTTTCCTGGTCTCCCACACGGGTACAGGTGCCCAAGCACTTGGGCCATCCTCCACTGCCTTCCCGGGCCACAGCAGAGAGCTGGATTGGAAGAGGAGCAGCCGGAACTAGAACCCGGTGTTGATATGGGATGCCGGCGCCGCAGGTGGAAGATTAACCATGTGAGCCATGGCGCCAGCCCCAATCTTTTTTTTTTTTTTTAAAGAACTTGTGTTGTGTTGGAAAATCCAGTAGACTTAAATGAAATGAACAAATATTTTCAAATCACAGAATTAATACAAGTGTTTGGGACCAGCTTTGTGGCATAGTGGGTAAAACCACCACCTGGGATGCAAGCATCCCATGTGGGCACCAGTTCATGTCCCGGCAACTGCGTTTCTGATATCGCTCTCTGCTAAGGGTTTGGGCCCCTGCCACCCATGTAGGAGACCTGGATGTAGCTCCTGGCTCCTGACTGCAGCCTGGCCCAGTGCTGGCCATTGAAGCCACCTGGGGGAGTGAAACAGTGGTAGGAATATCTCACTTTCTCTCCCACTAGTAACCCCTTCAAAAATAAGTAAATGAATCTCTAAATATATTCCGTCCTTTAGAATCCGTAGAGCTTCTGAGCTTATGCTGAGTGGTGTAGTGCCTGGCACCATGATGACATAATACAGCATAATGGATTTCTTGGAAGCTTTTAGTGAACCACAGAGTAAGTCTCTGTTCTCAAAGAACTCATGTTCTGGGGCAGGTGTAGAGATTTTTCTGAATGGGAAAGACTCAGTGTTTTTAGGGATCCAATAAAATAGTACTTTAACCTTTCAGAACAAATGGAATTAGAAGATAGTTCTTTTTAGATGGAAAATGGTCTTGATTCCACAGGTTTTTTTCCATAACACATACAGTATATGAATTTTTAAAAGACTCCCCCACCTCTTTTTTTATTCCTCTGGAATATTTACTCAGCCCCTTGGTTCTACAGATTTATGAGAAGAACTTGCTCACCTGCTCCCGAAACACCTGCTTTACCTGTTTGTTTCTCAGAGTGTAGATGAAGGGATTGAGCACTGGAGTGACCACAGTGTTGAGCAATGCCACCACCTTATTCCAGCCCTCCCCCTGGCCACCTTTGCCTGACCGGATGTACATGAAGATGCAGCTGCCATAGAAGAGAGACACCACAATGATATGGGAGGAGCAGGTTGAAAAGGCTTTCTGCCTCTCCTTGGCTGAGGGGATGTGCAGGATAGTGTGGACGATGTGGCCATAGCAGGTGGCTGTCACACACAGAGTGCCCAGTAAGCTGATGATGGCTATCACAAAACCCAGAAGCTCTATCAGAGTTGTGTCTGCACATATGAGTTCCATGAGTGGAAAGCTGTCACAGAAGAAATGATTAATGACATTAGGGCCACAGAACGGTTGGTTAAATATGATGACACTTGGAAGAAGAATGAGAATGAGTCCTGTGATCCATGAGCAGAGCACCAGCTGGACACACACCCTTTTGCTCATGATGATGGTGTACCGCAGGGGGTTACATATGGCCACATACCTGTCAAAGGACATCGCTGCCAGTAGGAAGAACTCTGTGGTGCCCAGGAAGAAATAGAGGAACAACTGGAGAAAGCATCCTGCTAGGGAGATGGTCTTGTGTCCTGTGAGGATGTTGGTCAGTGTCTTGGGGAAGATGATGGAGGTGAACCAGATCTCCAGGACAGCAAAGTTGCGGAGGAAGTAGTACATGGGGGTGTGGAGGCGCCTGTGCGTGAGGGTGACAACCACGATGAGGAGGTTCCCGAGCAGGGTGAGGAGGTAGGTGAGGAGGAGCCCCAGGAAGATGAGCAGCTGCAGCTCACAGGCATCTGAGAGCCCCAGCAGGACAATCTCAGTGATGCTGGTGTGGTTCCCCATGGCTCCTGAGACCTGCGCTGGGGATGGCTGATGAAGGGTGTTCAGCATCAGGAGTGGTGATGTTCTGGAGGGTCTGAGAACAACCTGGGTTGGAGAGGAAGAGGGTGAGTGTTGGATTTGGGCTGAAGAAGTCCTCTATGCCTGTGAGCTGCTGGCTCGCTACTCTTCCTCTTCAGGCAGGTTGCCCACATCTCACAGTGAGTCAGCAGCGAGTCCTATATTTTGACTCCGTTTTATCTGTTTATTGGAAAAGTTTTGTTTTTACCAATTCGTTTTCCATGGCCCTCCTTTTTTCTGTTAGAAACGCTGTGTTAAATTTGTTTATATCAGATGATATCTTTTCCCATATTTGTCCAAATGTTTGTGTTTGCAAATCCAGGATCCATGTGCCACAGAAGTTAATGCTGCCATCAGTGGAATACATGCTCAAGAGCTTTTTACTGAAGGCATTTAGTTTAGTCAGAGAGCCTGTGACTGGAACTGGGATCCATCACTTACTAACTGATCTCACCAACCTTCTGTTTCCACCTTGAGTATTGTAAGAATACTGATGTGAAATGTTCTCGTGGCTCTTAAATGGGTATCATACACCCAACACTTAGCACAGGGCTGGCCACATAGGGGACAGGAACATAATATTAGCTCTTTATTCTAAAAGTGTTATCAGCTCATCCTTAAAGTTGAAATAAAAGGAACTGAATAATAAGAATCTCCAAAACCTCACAGAGGCAACTTCTATTAAGATTTTGATGTATTTCTCTTGAGTATATTTTATTACATTTATTAGTTATAAGTTTACAGAGCTGTGTTTATAGATCATGTATTTTGTATCCCTACATTGGTCTCACTTCAATTTTAGAGAGTGTATCTTTGGCTTAAAATGATTATTTATTTCTGGATTTTTCACTGCCTTTGTCCTCAGAGTTCTGGATGAAGAATGAGGCAATCTTGTCAATGGTTGTTCTTTGTACAAATGACAGGTTCAGGCAAACTACTGTAGGGAAGAGGCTGGTACATCCAGGACATGAGCAGCAAGCATGTGATAAGGCTGAGTCAGAGAAATAGTAACGTACCACTCGATTTCTCGGTAAAACACATATCTATGTGGATTAGATATGATCATGAAAAAAAACGAACGGCTTGTAAGATGGGAAGATTGTGGGTCATTTTTCTTTCTTCTTGTTAATACATTTATTCTTGCTGCATAATTAACTTCAATCTAAAATCATAAAAGAAACACTGAGCCTATTTGGGTTAGAAGTTGAGTAGAATATTTCAGGAGAAACAAAGGGGAAACAAAAGTGTAGGAAAGGCTTAAGGTCTCCATTACTTACTGTCTGAAGGTGAGTGAAAACACGGAGGATGATCAAAAGATCAAAGTGAGTTGTCCCATGGCCCAGCAGGGGCACTGAAAATAGATGACTGGCTCTAGACAGAGTGTCTTGAAGAAGTGGGTTCCCTTTTCTCCATTCCAAAAATTGCAACAAGCAGTTTACCTCTTTAGCTACCAGGTGAGGTGCGCAGTTGTCTCCCTAGGTGGTTCTGATGACAGATTCCTGGTTTCCACTGCAGTGTTGCCTGAGGACCCCTGTTGTTGGGGGACTCACCAGATGTTCAAAGGAGATTCCAGAGCTGCAGCAGGGTCTGCAGGTCTTGGACATGGGCAAGTCTTGTGTTTGTAGTGCGTGTGTCACCACTTCTCTGTGTTTGCAACATGCACTCTCCCTGTGCAGTGCTGCCTGACTCTCTTGTCACTAGCATGTGCCAGGTGTCCCCAGAAATGAGCTGTCTCTGTTTTTTTTTTCCTGAACCTGTGGGTTCACAGATCTCTTAGAGTTGCCTTTGTTCTCTTCCCACAGTGTTGGTTTTGAACAACTTTCCTGGGGAAATCAACATAGAAGCCTAATTAATTGTTCTTCCATTCTGCCCATTAAAATGAATAGACTGACTTCCTTTCATGTAGAGCTATGTAATTCACTTACTGTTGAGCTTAAGTTGTTTCTGGTTAATGGTACGTGGCCTTCCAGGTCCATGTCCCATAGTAGACTCAGGAGAAACTATTGATGGCACACTACTTTTCTCTGTGGAGTGGGCATCACAATTGGACTATTTGGGGTTCTGTTGGGTCTCTATGGCAACTCAGAAATCCACAAAGGAACACAGCTGAAACAACCCATCTAGAGAGTCTCATCTTCTGGTGGATGGAGTTGTTCTTCCCTTGAGATTCATTACTGTTATGGGTATTAGGGATGTGGAAAGTTCCCCTAGTTCTTTTTTTTTTCTTTAACTTTGGAACTAAAAGTTTACTTAGTTGTGCCTCAGAGGCACAGGCACTTCTAATGAAGTTTATTTGTTTCAATGAAGGACACATTTTAAACTATTCATCCTACTTTTGTTGAGTTGTTCTTGTGTGCAGAGGCTGCTCTTAATGCAGACATACAGAAGCAGAATCCCGTGAAGAAGACAGGCATTAAAAAATCAACACACAATTAATTACCAGTGTTCCCAGCAATCTAACGAAGAGCTCCTAGGAGGTTCTAACCTAGACTGAAGGATGAGAGGCTTGGTCTTCTTGGGCTGCTGTCATTAAATCTTTGATGATGGCTGTAACAGGGTAGATTTATTTTTCAGTTTTGGAGGCTTCTAAGTCCCAATATCAAGGTGTCCACCTCCTGGTTAGCAGAAGACCAACTTTTTGGTGTTGGAGAGACCGGGTTTTGGTCTGTTCCTCTTCTTTTTTTTCCCCAGAAACCTTTTATTGAAGGAATACAAACTTCATACATTTCATAATTTCAACTTTAGGAACATGGTGATTCTTCCCTCTGTACCCATCTTCCCACCCACTCTCCCACCCCTCTTCCTCCTCTGTCTCCTATTCCCTTTCTTAGTTTTTACTCAGATGTATTTTCAATTAACTTTTTACACATATGATTAACTCTAAGTTAAGTAAATAGTTCAACAAATAGTGTAAAAAAAACTGTTCCTCAACAGTCGAGACAGGGCTATTCAAAGTCATAGCTTCTCAAACTATCAATTTCTCTTTTTTTTAAGATTGATTTATTTATTTGAAAGTCAAAGTTACGCAGAGAGGAGAGGCAGAGCGAGAGCGAGAGCGAGAGCGAGATTTCTTCCATCCACTGGTTTACTCCCCAGTTGGCTGCAACAGCTGGAGCTGCACTCATCCGAAGCCAGGAGCCAGGAGCTTCTTCTGGGTCTCCCACGTGGGTGCAGGGGCCCAAGGACTTGGGCCATCTTCTACTGTGTTCTCAGGCCATAGCAGAGAGCTGGATTGGAAGTGGAGCAGCCCAGTCTCGAACTGGCACACATATGGGATGCTGGCACTTTAGGCCAGGGCGTTAACCCACTGTGCCACAGCGCCAGCCCCTCAAACAGTCAATTTCACTTCTATAGATTACCTTTTAGGTGCTCTATTATCATAGATCAGGGAGAACGTAAGGTATTTGTCCTTTTGGGACTGGCTTATTTTACTAAGTATGGTGTTTTCCAGTTTCGTCCATTTTGTTGCAAATGACCAGATTTTTTTTTAACCACTGTGTAATATTCCATGGTGTACATATTCTGTTATTTCTTTATACAGTCTTCAGTTGATGGGCATTTGGGTTGATTCCATGTCTTTCCTATTGTGAATTGAGCTGCAACAAACATGGAGGTACACATAGCTCTTTCGTATGCTGATTTCATTTCCCTTGGGTAGATTCCCAGGAGTGGGATGGCTGGGTCATATGGTAGGTCTATGTTCAGATCTCTGAGTTATCTACATACTGTCTTCCATAGTGGTTTTACCAGTTTACCTTTCCACCAAGAGTGGATTAGGGTAGGCTTTCCCCACATCCTCACCAGCATTTGTTGTTTGTTGATTTCTGTATGAAAGCCATTCTAATGGGGGTGAAGTAAAACTTCATTATGGTTTTGATTTGCATTTCCCTGATGGCTAGTGATCCTGAACATTTTTTATTTTCTTCTCTTCTCTTTGCTTTGCCTTTTTTTTTTTTTTTGTGAGATGGGTTACCCACATTTATTAAAGTCTTAAGGCACACTATTCCTCAGCCTAAGCACTATCTTTAATGATAATAGCTAATCATTCCAATTCTCTTAGTAACTTTCTTTCTTTCTTTTTTTTCTTGACAGGCAGAGTGGACAGTGAGAGAGAGAGACAGAGAGAAAGGTCTTCCTTTTGTCGTTGGTTCACCCTCCAATGGCTGCCACGGCCGGCGCGCTGCAGCTGGCACACCGCGCTGATCCGAAAGCAGGAGCCAGGTGCTTCTCCTGGTCTCCCATGGGGTGCAGGGCCCAAGGACTTGGGCCATCCTCCACTGCACTCCTGGGCCACAGCATAGAGCTGGCCTGGAAGAGGGGCAATAGGGACAGAATCCGGCGCCTTGACTGGGACTAGAACCCGGTGTGCCGGTGCCACAAGGCGGAGGATTAGCCTAGTGAGCTGCAGCGCCGGCCTCCATAAACTTTTTATAAAAATCCCTTTGGGATCTCTAGTCACTTTTTGCTCCTCTTTCTTTCTTTCTTCTTTTTTTTTTAAAGGTTTTTATTTAATGAATACAAATTTCGTATGTAGAGCTTTTAGGAATATACTGTTTCTTCCCCCCATTCGCGCCCTCCCTCCCCCACTCTCATTCCACCTCCTACTCTCTTTCCCATTCCATTTTTCATTAAGATTCATTTTTAATTCACCTTATATACAGAAGACCAAGTCTATATTAAGTAGAGATTTCCACTGTTTGCACCCACATAGACACACAAAGTATAAAGTAATATTTGAAGACAGGTTTTATTGTTAATTCTCATAGTACACCTCATTAAGGACAGAGGTCCAACATGAGGAGTAAGTGCACAGTGACTTCTGTTGTTGATTTAACAATTAACACTTATTTTTGACATTAGTGACCACCCGAGGCTCTTTATTTTTTTTTTAAGATTTATTTATTTTATTTGAAAGTCAGAGTTACACAGAGAGAGGAGAGGGAGGGAGGGAGAGAGAGAAAGAGAGGTCTTCCATCCATTGGTTCACTCCCCAGCTGGCCGCAACGGCTGGAGCTGCACTGATCCAGAGCCAGGAGCCAGGAGCTTCCTCCTGGTCTCCCACGTGGGTTCAGGGACCCAAGGACTTGGGCCATCCTCCACTGCTTTCCCAGGCCATAGCAGAATCGGAAGTGGAGCAGCCGGGTCTTGAACCGGTGCCCATATGGAATGCTGGCACTTCAGGCCAGGGTGTTAACCCGCTGAGCCACAGCACTGGCCCCAACACCCGGGGCTCTTTACATGAGCTGCCAAGGCTATTTAATCCTTTTGCATCCACAAACTCTGTTGGTATTTAGATAGGGCCATATGCAAAGTGGAAGTTCTCTCCTCCCTTCAGAGAAAAATACATCCTTCTTTGATAGCCCCTTCTTTCCACTGGGGTCTCACTCACAGTGATCCTTATTGTAGGTTATTTTTTGCTGCAGTGTCTTGGCTTTCCATGCCTGAGATGCTCTCCTGGGCTTTTCAACCAGATCTGAATGCTGTAAGGACTGATTCTGAGGTCAGAATCTGAGCATTTTTTCATGTGTCTGTTGGCCATTTGGATTTCCTTTTGAAAAATGCCTGTTTAGGTACTTTGCCCATTTCTTAACTGAGTATTTGTTTTGTTGTTGTTGAGTTTCTTGATCTCTTTATATATTTTGGTTATTAATCTTTTATCAGTTGAATATTTTGCAAATAATTTCTCCCATTCTATTGGTTGCCTCTTCACTTTCCTGAGTGTTTCTTTTGTAGTACAGAAGATTCTCAAATTTTTTTTTGACAGGCAGAGTGGACAGTGAGAGAGAGAGACAGAGAGAAAGGTCTTCCTTTTGCCATTGGTTCACCCTCCAATGGCCGCTGGGGCCAGCGCGCTGCGGCCGGCGCACCACGCTGATCTGATGGCAGGAGCCAGGTACTTATCCTGGTCTCCCATGGGGTGCAGGGCCCAAGGACTTGTGCCATTCTCCACTGCACTCCCTGGCCACAGCATAGAGCTGGCCTGGAAGAGGGGCAACCGGGACAGCATCCGGCGCCTCGACCAGGACTAGAACCTGGTGTGCCGGTGCCGCAAGGTGGAGGATTAGCCTATTGAGCCGCGGCGCCGGCTGAAGCTTCTCAATTTTATGTAATCTCATTTTTTAAAAAAAGATTTTTATTTATTTATTTGAGAGGTAGAGTTATAGACAATGAGAGAGAGAGAGAGAGAGAGAGCCATAGAGAAAGGTCTTCCATCCACTGGTTCACTCCCCAAATGGCTGTCATGGCCGGATCTGAGCCAATCTGCATCCAGGAGCCAGGAGCTTCTTTCAGGTCTCCCACATGGGTGCAGAGGCCCAGGCACTTGGGCCATCTTCTACTGTTTTCCCAGGCCATAGCAGAGAGCTGGATTGGAAGAGGATAGCCAGGACTATGGGATGCCAGCACTGTAGGTGGAGAATTAACCCACTGGGCCACAGCACCAGCCCTAGTGTAATCCCATTTGTTAATTTTGGCTTTGATTGCTTGTGCCTCTGGAATCTTTTCCAAGAAATCTTTGCCTATGCCAATGTCTTGCAGGGTTTCCCCAATGTTCTCTAATAATTTGATGGTGTTGGATCATAGACTTAGTTCTTTAATCCATTTTGAGTGGATTTTTGTGTAAGGTGTAAGGTAGAGGTCTTGCTTCATACTTCTGCATGTGAAATCCAGTTTTCCCAGCACCATCTGTTGAAGAGATTGTCCTTGCTCCAGGGATTGGTTTTAGCTCCTTTGTCAAAGATAAGTTGATTGTAGATGTGTGAATTGATTACTGGAATTTCTATTCTTTTCCAGTGGTCTATTCATCTGTTTTTGTTCCACTACCGGGTTCTTTTGATTATAATGCCTAGAAGTATCTTGAAATCTGTTCTTGTGATGCCTCCAGCTTAGTTTTTGTTGTATAAGATTGCTTCAGTTATCTGAGGTCTCCGGTGTTTCCATATGAATTTCAGCATCATTTTTCAATATCTGAGAAGAATGTCCTTGATATTTTGATTGGTATCACAATGAATCTGTAAATTGCGTGGCCAGTGCTGCAGTCTAGTGGGTAAAGCTGCTGCCTACAGTGGCAGCATCCCATATGTGTGCCAGTTCGAGACTGGGCTGCTCCACTTCCAATCCAGCTCTCTGCTATGGCCTGGGAAAGCAGTAGAAGATGTCCCAAGTCCTTGGGCTCCTGTACCCATGTGGGAGACCCGGAAGAAGCTCCTGGCTTCTGACTTCTGATTGGCACTGCTCAGGCTGTTGTGTTCATCTGGGGAGTGAAAAAGCGGATGGAAGAGCTCTCTCTCTCTCTGCCTCTCCTTCTCTCTCTGTGTAACTCTGACTTTCAAATAAATAAATACATCTTAAAAAAAGAAAGGAAATCACTAGCTACCAAATAAATTATTAAAAAAAGAATCTGTAAATTGCTTTTGAAAGTGTGGACATTTGGATGATAATGATTCTTCCAATCCATGAACTTGGATGATTTTCCATTTTTTTGGTATCTTCTTCTA